GCGATTACTTAAGGTTCTTGTGGTGGCCTGACGGAGATACATCGAAGGAGCCCGAAGACTACAGAATGCGAGTCCACCTATTTGGAGCAACGTCATCACCCGGATGTTCCAATCTAGCGTTGAAAACCACGGCCAAAGCTGGTGAAGAAGAGTTTGGAACAGATGCCACCTCATTTGTCGAAAACTGTTTTTATGTTGATGATGGGTTAAAGTCCGTTGAGAAGGTAGAACAAGCGACTAAGTTGATAAAAAGCAGCATTGAAATGTGCCAGAAGGGCGGGTTTCGTCTACACAAGTGATCGAGTCCATTCCTGTTGACTACCGTGCTACCGAAGTCAAAGAACTCGATCTGAGTCACGATATACTTCCGATCGAATGAGTGCTAGGAATGGAGTGGTGCATCGAAAGTGATTCTTTTCAGTTTCGCATAACCTTACAGGACAGACCACTTACAAGACGCGGGGTTTTGGCAACTATAAGTTCCATTTATGATCCCCTCGGACTCGTTGCCCCTGTTCTACTTACTGGAAAAAAGATCCTACAAGCCCTGTGCAAAGAGAATGCTGATTGGGATGACCCTCTGCCAGAAAAGCTTAGAATAGAGTGGGAAAGATGGAGAAAGGACATTCATTTGTTGGGAAACATGAAAGTTGAAAGATGTTACAAACCTGAGAGCTTTGGAGATGTGAAGAAAACTGAACTTCATCATTTCTCTGACGCAAGCTGTGAAGGGTACGGTCAATGTTCGTATATAAGATTGGTTGATGATAGCGATAGAATCCACTGTTCGTTAGTTGTGGGCAAATCTCGTGTGGCGCCACTGAAACAAGTTTCGATTCCAAGGTTAGAGCTAACAGCCGCGGTTGTTTCTGTCAAAGTCAGCGCCATGCTTCAAGAAGAACTCGATTATAAGAGCATCGAAGAGATATATTGGACAGATAGCAAAGTCGTTTTAGGATATATTAACAATGATGCGCGTCGCTTCCATGTATTCGTGGCTAATCGCGTCCAACAAATCAGAGATCATTCGTCAAAGGATCAGTGGAATTACGTTGAGTCAAAGTTAAATCCAGCTGATGAGGCATCCCGAGGTTTAAAGGCCTGTGATATTGTGAGCGATTCGAGGTGGATAAACGGTCCGTCATTTCTATACGAAGCTCACCAAGATTGGAATCATTTTAACCAACCGGATGACAAAGCAAAGCTGGAAACAGATGATGTCGAAGTAAAGAAAGTCACAACCTTTGCAACATCTGTGAAAAAATGACGTGGTAGAGAGATTAGAATACTTTTCGAGTTGGCACCAAGCCAAGAAGGCCATCGCTATTTGTCTTCGTTATCGCAGATTGTTACGTCAAAGGGTACGTAAGAAAAGGGAGGAAAAGGATGTCGAGAACATTGAGAAAGCAGCGACTGTTATGAAACCTGACCAAGCTGTTACTGTGGAAGAAATGAATGCTGCTGAACGGGAAATAATCAAGGCACTGCAGAAAGAAGAATTCAAACAGGAGATAAGCTCGTTAAAGTCAAAACCCAAAGTCAATGTACTGGAAACTCAAGGACGGCGAAATACGGTAGCTAGAACTAGCCCGATTGCTAAACTCGATCCCTTTATGGACGAACATGGAGTTATATGAGTAGGAGGAAGAATTCGAAGATCTAGTATGGACGCTAATATCAAGCATCCGGTAGTCTTACCAAAGAGAGCTCACGTTTTTATCGTCGCTGAAGAAGAATCATCCCGAAACTGTTGGCCATTAGCTCGCGTAGTGAATGCTGAGAACGACGAAGATGGCCTAGTTCGAAAAGTAAAGTTGATGGTCGGCGAGCGGAGACTCACGAAGCAAGGAAGAGAGAAGTCCACAAGTTGATATTGTTGATCCAAGGAGAAAGACCGGGAATCCCCGCCGAAGAGCCTGATGACAAATGATACAGACATTGCTGATAAACGTTAAGTTCATGTTATTGTTGTTTATATTTAGTAAATTCGAATTTCGAATTTAGGGGAGCCATGTAAGTGCTCGCGTTGCGTGGACACGCGCGCGTGTACAGATCGGAAACGTTCGTACGTTGTCGTGCCTTTTTTGGCTCGAAAGAACACAAAAAAAAAGAACATGTTTAATACGAAAGGACAAGCTTTTTGTATTTTAAGAGTTGTAAATCAAGATAAAGGCCGAGTCATCAACGTTGTTTACCCGGCCAAAACCAAGTAACCTAAAGATAAAACATGAATAAAGATTAATGAACATTTACAGTTTGTTTCAACAACAGGATCAACTCTGAACTCATCCTGATCTTCGTTGAAGGTTTGATCAAGTTCATCATCAACTCTATCTAGATCAAATAACTCAACAGTTTGTTTTTCATCATCCAGAACTTCAATTCTCTCTTGCTGCTCGAACACAAAGTCATTCTTTGGGTTCTCAAAATTATGAAATTTCTTCTCTAAGAATTGAACATCTCGACTTATCATGAACTTTCTTCTTTTAACATCATAAACTTTGTATCCTTTTGTGCCAGTAGGATAGCCAACAAATATAGCTTCATAAGACTTTTGGTCTAATTTTCTACGATTACTGTCCGGGATATGAACATAGCACATACATCCAAAGACTTTAAGATTAGAAACATCTGGTTTTTTACCGAAAAGGCATTCATGAGGGGTTTTGTCCTTTAATGCAACTGTAGGACTTAGGTTATGTAGGTACACAGCTGTATTGCATGCTTCGGCCCAGAAGACTAGGGGCAATTCTCTGTACAGAATTTGGAGAAACTGTTCGATTTGTACTCACCTCCGTTGTCGCTGCGCAGAATCTTCACTTTATTATGATTTCCATCTTGATTTTCAACGTAATTCACAAACTCCTTGAACTTAGTAAGTGCTTCATCTTTCTTCTTAATAAAGTAAGCAACAGCATATCTGGAATAGTCATCAGTAAATGTGACCAAATAACGGCTACCGCCAATTGACTCAACTTGCATTGGTCCACATTGTCAGTATGTATGATTTCATAAGGTCTGCTTGCCCTATGTAGACTTGCTTTTGGAAAGGGATTCTTATATGCATCTTTTCCATTGAACATCCTTTGCAATCTTTCTCCACTTGTTTACTTTCATCATACATCATTCAGGTGATCATATCATTCATCAGTTGATTAACATATCCATTGTTTAGATGACCAAATCTCTGGTGCCACATATCCAAGGGTTCAGTTGTAGGATGGGCAAATTCAACTGGATTAACAGTATACAGCATACAATCTACCAATTTACCAATCACATATTCTTTTTCTTCTTTGGAAACAACACATTTTTCGTCATTGAATGACACTTTAGCTCCCATTGAAGCCATTGCAGGCACAGACAATAGGTTTTTTGCTAACATCGGCACATACAATACTTTGTGTAACTCCAAATAGAATGTATTGTCATTTTGAGTATATAGCTTAACCATTCCTTCACCCAGGGCTTTGATACAGGTATTGTCACCCAAATAAATATTCACCGGTGTTTGGTATTGAGTGTAGTTGATGATAAGGTCCTTGCGATTTGTCATATGCTTTGTCGCAGCTGAATCCACATACCATTCATTTGAATTTCCTGTGCTTGAAATCAGTGCTACTCCACCACCTTCCGCAAGCTTCGAATGTTCCCCTTTGTTTCCACCTTTTCTATTGTTGAGTGGACAGTTCCTGGCAATGTGTCCAGCTTTGTTACACTTAAAGCATAAAATATTTCTTGCTCTTCCGTCATCACATTGTTGTTGTGCTACTGGTGTCAATGTATCCCCACCGTTATTGGTGTTCCATGATGGCTTGTAGTCTACAGGAGTCCAATTTCTAGAATGTTCACCATGTCTTCTTCTATCATAATTTCTTCCTCTGCTCATGTATGACTTCCTGTTTGTAAGCAATGCATTGTCACTCTTGTTATTCTCAAATTTTTCCTTTCTCTTCAAATACTCTTCTATTAACAATCCCTTTATATTGTCCCATTCCAACTCTTCAGCTTTCCTCGCATTCAAACTTGTGAGGAGATTATCATACGATTCTGGTAAACTGCCTAGCACCACAGTAGCAAATTTCTTTGATGATATATCTTCTTCCATTTCACGCAGTTGTTCTGCCAATGATGTCATATAGGTCAGGTGTTTCATAAGATCTCCACCTTCTTCCATGGTGGCTGCATAGAATTTACGATTCAAACGCACAACTTGGGTAACAGATACAAACTCAAATTGTTTTTGCAAGTTTCTCCATGCTGCTAAAGGATCTGTCATACTCGAAATGTGTATTTGCAAGTGTTTCTCAACGTTTAAGGCAATCAGAGTAGGCTTTATCTGATTGCAACTGGAAAGCATTCTTTACAGCATTTGTCGCATTTTCGTCAGGAGGTATTTCTTTGCCTTCTTGTGTAAAGCCCCAAAGGCCACGTTCCATAAGAACTAGCTTGACATTGTATTTCCAAGACTGATAATTCTTGCCATTTAGCTTATCGATCTTCGTAATTTCCGCCATATTAGACTCGAAATATTTTCACCAAAAATTTCCGCCGAACAGGACAAATAAACACGTTTTAATTCAATTCCACACGTCCTGGGCCCATAACCTATTGAAATATTCACTCACTTTTGATTGTGTAACTATTTATTTGAAGATAGACATAACTATAATAATATGAATTGATTTTCTAAAAACATGTCCGACCGAATGTCCACATCAGAGGAGAGAATCTCATTAATCTTTAACCAATCATATTTAGCGTTATAGAATTTGGCGGGAACTTATTATTGTTAACATAAATATCTGTGGCACAGCATTTCAGATAGTTTTGGATGGCCTATATTTTGCCAGATGCCAGTAACCCTATCCAGCATATCCCTACTCTCTGCCCACGGCCATGTCTCTGCTTAACATACTATACATATGTCGGAGACTTTCAATTATCATATATAGTATATAGACCAAAGTACATTTAATCTTAGAATATAGATAATTCATATAGTTATTAGTTTAAATATATAGTTATGAACACATACACTATACGTGCAAAAGGGAAACGACAGTGCCGAGTAATAGACTAGAAGTTTCGTATCCAACGCAAGAGATAAACAGACGTGACTATCCAACCGCATTGTCAGGGCGCAGTCGAAACTATAGGATCAAATCGCGATGAATTTGCATATTTTCCGCAAGGAAACTTCGTCACATAACCGCATAGACTTCGTCATATAATCACAATAAGTTCCTATTATTTTACTATAAATATAGCCTCTCTATGTTAGTTAGACACATTAGAACTTCAGTCTACTGGAGAGTTAACATCGATTGTGATACAGTGAAGTGTAACATATCTAATGTCATTGTGACCTGTGACCTTTATTAAAGTTTTTAAAATTTAAACGTGATTTGTGAATTTGTGAGTTGTTGGGCGAAACAAGGGAGGCAATCCCCAACACATATTACAACTTGAAAGATATTATTTGCACTTCATTTGGTTGGACTAGAATACTGGGTTTGGTGGATAATCCAATATATATATATATAATATATAGACATTATTTAATTATGACCTATAACCAGGAACAATTGCAAAAAATGTAACACTAAATCCTCAACCAGGAATTGAACCTACGGCCCTGTGCTTCCGGAGCAGCGCTCTAACCAACTGAGGTCCAGAATCGCAGGGCCGTAGGTTTGATTACTGCCAGAGGACTTAGTTTTGGATTATTCACCAAACCCAGTATACATAAATTATCTTATATATAAAGGATGAGTCTTATTATTATTTATTTAAAAAATTTCTGGTTTCTGATTGGGTCAATTTCACATGAGACATTGAAAATGGCAAAATGCAATATTATGTGGTGCTAACCACATGTTTCCATAGTTAACATATTGGATTATCATAAATCAAAACGATTTTTGAATTTTGGCCCATGCCCACTCTGTGGCAAACCGTCGAATCTGCACTTGTTTGTTGCCATTGTTCTGTGGATAAAGTGTGTTTATTTAAAATAATTATAACTCAGTCACTTTAACTTTGAAATAAGTTATATTTCTTAACAAACACAGTCTAAGGTTCACATATCATGATGACAATGTTAGATCAGACAATATCCAGTGTTGCTGTGATTTACGGTGCATCGAAGTTTGGGTAAGAGAAATGTAATGTCTGCAACAAAAAAAACAATTCAATATATTTTTCAGCCAAACGTCTAGCTCTTTTGACATTATATTTGTGCTGCTTTTTTAAAATGGTATTAACATTATTTTAGACTGGAAAAAGACAATAAAAAGTATTAACATGTCTTGAATAATGTGTTGCGGACATTACGTTGCAGACATTACATTTTTGAAATTGGAGAATTAGATGCTTATATAATTGTCTTGCTTGAATTCTATAGTTATTTTAAGCTTGATGACTTAAAAATAGAACATTAAAAGGACTATGGGACCCTTACTTTTAACTATAATCACTCCGTGCTGTATACACAATCACAGTGACACAATTCATCATGGAAAGTTTCCAAGTTACATATAATGCCACTACCGTATACTGCCATTGTACCATCAGTTTTGTAAGGCATATGTTGTTAAGAGCAAAATCATGTTTTAATTCATGTTTGTTTTGATCATCTTCCACTAAACCCAGGCGTGTTAATTATCCCCACCAAATGTAGTAAATGCAAAACTGTCAAATAGAATGGTCTACAAACATGACACTTTATTTGCTGCACAACCCGAGTCATTGCCTGAGTCTATGCGCAACAAATATTGCACTTTTGAAAGATATTATTGTCAACAGAAGTAGTAAGGGGATAAAAGTACTCGAAAAAAGAGGGGGTGTGGGAATTTTTTTTTTAATATAAAATAGTATTACGCAAAAGTGCCGCGTCAGCAAAAAAGAGTGAAAAAGTGTCTCCACGGACGGGGGGGGTTTTGGGCTCACCATGACGTCCCCCAAAAGCCACTGTGTGTGTCGCAATAATGCGTGGGTTGCGCAACATTGGAGGAGATGTGTCGCCGAAGCCCTGGTCGACTAAAGTGAGGACATTTGAATTTGGCGGTGATTTTATGGCGCGCGTCACGTGACGCGCGTATGACGTACTTCCGGTGATGTAGATCCGGTGCGCCCGTTTTTCGGGTGGGGGTGCGGGCGGCGTGCGGGCGAGCTGTTAATAATCGACGGGGACGGTTAAAATTTTTTTTTTTCAATTTATTTACTAAAAAATATTTATTAAATTTACATTTTTCACCTATTATTTACATTATTTTAAAAGTTTTGTATTTCTTGCAGGTTTGCAAGTACATTTTGTTCCATATAATTCAGTACTTTTAGTTTGTGTCTTTGTTCCTTTATCTTTCCAAAGGCTTTTACCTTCTCCTCTGCAATGAATTTGAGCGGCGCATAGTGCTTTATTGCAAAGCATTTAATGTCCTTGTCGTGCTTTGTTAACAGCTTTGCCTTTTTCCGAACTGAACCGTTCCCCGAAAAAAGCGCTACTTCGCGAATTGCGAATGTATCATCACCATCGGCTTCGCCACTTTTCGCGTCACGCAGCAACGCCGAATCTTTGGTCGGTCTTCCGGGTCCAGGCCCTTCAGTGTTAGCGGCGGGTCTCTTTCGCTTTCGAGGGACGGGTATCGGTTTACTTTGTTTTTATTTTGTTGCGGTGGCGACGACGGTCTCTTCCTTGTTGTAAATTGCCTTTAATTGTTCAATATTTTTACCGCGACTTGGGGATCTTTCATAATTTGGCGGTGCTTTTTCTTCGTCTTCGGATGAGGATGATGCTGCTAGAGGGTTTTGTTCGGGAATTGTAGCTTCGTTGACTATTTCGATAATATCGCAAGTATTATTTTCCATAGCGCAAGTGGTGTAATAATGGCTGTACTTTCGTTGTCGGTGTTGTAAGCGATGTCCTGCGTCTCATCACAATTTGTGGGTTGTGGTGATGGCGTAGTTGTTGTAGTGGAGATAGTAGTAGTGGTAACTTCATTTTTTAGGGAAAAATTTTGAAACAGTTCAGTATCGTTTTCGTCACATAGACTTGTTAAGTCGTCGGGTAGCTGGTTTCTTGAGGGTTTTAAACGAGGGTCCGTTGGTGGCGTAGGTGCTGCGAAAAGGTTAGCGTTGGTAATTTTTTCCTGCTCGAGGTTATATTGATCGTACAGCTGCTTCCAAAATATAAATTTTTCTGCGAAATTACAGCATCCGATAGGCGGTTGATACTGGGTGAAATTCACATATAGATTTGTCAGAATCGCCGTATTTTTGTCTGACAGACAGCATTGCATGTAGTTTACGAACTGCATAAATTCGGTCGTTCCTGACATCTTGGCGGTGCGAGTGTAAATAACGCTTGTGTGCTGTAAATCTTTAGTATACTATTGTTTTTTGGAAGGGTGTAACGTAATTTTCCATATATGGTGTTGTAATAATACAATGTTGTGCGTTATTACCTACATATGGTTGTGGAATTTTTATTGTGTATTTGTTGCTTTTACAATGTTATTATCCAAATTTGGTAATAGAATGTTAATCTTATTTTTCCAGATGGTCAATGTTTGGCAGCGGGCGGTGATTGTCATGGTTTTTCTATATTTGTGTTATGTATTGTTTGGACCAAAAAAAGCATTGGAATTGCTGTTTATGTTTGATAAAAATTGGGGTGATCTGTATTATTGTAAAGATGAACATGAATGTGAATAATTTACAGGTTAGTGCAGGGTTTTTATCGTTGGATTTGCAAGAGTGGTCAGCACTTTATGGGTTTGCGTACAGTACAGTGAAGTAAGTTTTTTGAATTTTTATAGTGGAAAAGCAAAGTCTTTGATGATGAGATTTATCAGTTGTTTTTAAATTTGAATGACAAATTGGGGGAAGAAGGACGCGAGGCTCTTGAACGTGCACCCTGGGAGAGAAGAGAGAGAAGACCGATGTATAATGGGTGGTGTGTAAATATCTTGGATCGAGACATTCTTTACTGTGGCGTAAAGGGCTATGTTTACATGAACCCGAAAATATACGGGGTCGATTATATTAGTATTGGAAAAATAGTACTTGTACACGACATATTAACAAAATATCGTGTTAGAAATATATATGAACGGGATTGTTTGGGTTTCTTTGACTGTGACGGCGGCGAGGAGGACCGGGATGTAATGGTGGACATAATTCATAGTTTAACAGGATTTTTTAATGATAATGACTATTCGCTTGCGAATGTAAATATATTACAGCAAAATATTTTAATGGGTGTAGGGGTATTAGTAAAGCAAAATGTGATACGGGAAATGTGTAAACTTTTTAGAATAATATAAATTAAATATTTTCTAGATATATGCCGCCTTATTTTCGAGAAGACAATGAAATAGTAA